CACGCCCCGCACTGGAGATCAAGCCTACAATCTGGGCATGTGCCCTGACTGGGAATCAAACCATGACCTCCCGGTTCATAGGTTGACAACCGCCGGGCCATACTGGCTAGGCTAACCTGGTTCCTTTTTTTTATTTCTCTCTCCCTTCCTTCCTTCCTTCTTTCTTTCGAAGAGCAGCTGTTCACATCTTTTAGCATTTCACATTTGTCTGACTTGTAAATTGCCATGTGTCAGAATTATGGCTCTGTAATTGCTAAAATATGATCTGCCAGGTTATTTGAATATAATTACTTTTTGAAGTAATTGTGACCACAGAACATCTTTTTTACATGAGGAGCTGTACATCACTTGAAATTGCCTAAATGATGTCTTATCTGGTGTACAAATCCCAGGTCCCTACTGTTTTTAATAATATGGTGCCACTGAAGGGGTGGAGGTAGAAAGGGGGAGAAAGGCATTGGCCTAAGATAACCACTACATGAATTGCTTTGTGATTTTTATTTATGGGGAATCCTCATTTTGGGAGCCAAAGGGCCACTGCACTCAGAAAAACAATCCAGTAAATGTATTTTGTCTCATATTTTGTAGCAGTTAATTATCAACCATTAAAAAATATCTTTGATACTTGAAACTGTTGCTTATAGAGTATTTTTGTTAAAAGGTGATTAGCTCTTGCATTTAACGATGCTTAATGTTAAGATCAACTTCTAGTCAGGTTTCCTATAAAAGAAACCAGGTAATATATGTACATAAACCACAGAAATAGTATACCAAACTATTTAAAAATTAGTGTTTTCTACTTAAATTATTGTTTAGCTTACGACTTCTTGGGGCATTTGTAAAAACAAGTGAAATTCAATAAGGTTTTTGATTATTTCTGTAACCAGAGATAGTTTTTACAATTGAAATAACATTTCAGTTAAACAAAACATTGCTAAGTACTGATTTTTTATTAATAGTTGCCTTCTATGCCCTAGCTGGTTTGGCTCAGTGGATAAGAGTGTCGGCCTGTGGAGTGAATAGTCCCAGGTTTGATTCCAGTTGGGGGCATATGCCCGGGTTGCCGAATTGATCCCCAGTGAGGGCATGCAGGAGACAGCCGGTCAGGGATTCTCTTTCATCACTGATGTTTCTCTACCTTCCTCTCTAAAATTAATATATATATAAATATATATATTTTAAAGTTGCCTTTCTGTAAATTATACTTGTTCTGAAAAAGGTGTAATGAATGCACTGATAAAAAGGTTTCTTAAGTTTTATTCTGTTCGATTTTGTTTTAGTGAGAACTAATGATAAAATTCTCTAAATTTTTATTTTCCTGTGTAATTACTCCTTTCATTTAAATAGCTGGTAGCTTATGGCTTTTACCTGTAAAGATAGAGATGCACAGCAAGCAAATACATTTGAGAGGACTACACTGGAAGTGTTCATTGAATAGACTCTTGGATTAGGAGCATCTTATCCTATTTAATATTAAAAGTGGATTTTACACTAAGAACCTTTCTTAATAAAAACTTTATGGTTTTTCCTGATTATAATTCTTTTTATATTTTTACTGATTTCAGATGAAGGGAGAGGAAGAGATAGAAACATCAATGATGAGAAGCATTGATCAGCTACCTCCTGCAGGCCCCCACAATCCCTGCATGTGCCCTGACAGTTTAAACCGTGACCCCGGCTCATAGGTCCGTGCTCAACCATTGAGTCACACCGGCCAGCCTGATTATAATTTCTTAAATGTAAATAAATTTTTTTTCCTCCTAAGAATACACTTAATTGTCAGGGCTGTATCCCAGCTCTGCTGAGACGGGTTTTCCACGTGTCTGGGGATCCCACCCCCCTTTTGCAGACAGCACAGGTTTCCCTAAGGCTCAGGGAGATGTCCGGCTGGTCACTTGTTCCTGAAACTCAGGGGTTCCCCCCGGCCCCCGTGGGGTGCGCCCCACACGGGCCACCGCTTCGCATCTCCCCCAAACCACGCGGCCGAGCATTCCCCCCAGCTCCGCTTGCCAAAGTCGGAACTACGGGAGCCCGCGGGGCACAAGCTCATCACCCGCCGAGCCAATCACGAGGCGTAGCCGGCCGGCCTGCCCGGTGATAGGCATTCGCGGCCCGTGCCGCACGCTCCCATTGGCTCCCGGTGCCGGGATCTACGGCGGGACTGCGGAGGCTCTTCGAAAATGCCGGGCGGGGCCAAGCGGCGGGATTGGCAGGCCAGGGACCCCGCCCCTTCCGCTTCTCAGGCCTGACCTTCCGGCCGCTGGGTCGCGCGCGGATCCGACATTGAGGCGTCCTCACGATTCGGTCCGACCTTCCCCCCCTTTCGCGGCATCATGGTGGCCTACTGGCGACAGGCTGGACTCAGGTGGGCCCGGGCCTCGGGAGGGGAGCTCGGGGCGGCCGGGTCAGAGGTCACGCGGGCGCGTGGGGGTCGGGAGGCGAGCGCGCCCAAGATGGCGGCATTCCGGGGCTTAGGGCCGGCCGGCTGCTGCTGGGAGCGGGCACAGCCTCGTGGGGGCCGCGCGCGCGAGCATCTGCGCGCCTACGTGGGGTGCATCCCCGCCCCCGGCGCGACTCCCCCCAGAGACGGCGGCTCTCAGCGCAGGCCCTTTGCCCTTCTCACGACATCGGTTGTCAAAGTGGCAGGTGACATACAACGTGGGAGCTGGAAGATTGGGGGACAGCCTCTGGATGTGGCCACTGCCAGCCGTTTCTGGGTTTGCCTTCCAGCATCAAATTGGGGCCCCTGACGATGGTGCACACTTTGTATGTTTATGGTACATTAACTGCGTTGCTCTTACCTGCAGAGAGCCCTGCGCACAGGTGGCGGTGGCTCCTGGACGCTCCCTGCGGAACCCGTTTGAGGACATAGCAGCTAGTGTCCCGGGGAGAACCCCTCTGGGTGCTGTGTGCCCGGTCCCTCCTGGTTCCTCTGGCCCGAGTGACACACCTGTTCACCTGTCCGGATAAAGTAGCACCTCCTAGTGGCGCCCGTGGGTTGAGGCTGGGAGACGCCCCAGCAGCCCCAGAGCGCCTGACTGCAGAACTGGGAGGAGGGTAGTCCCAGGAATGGGCACCGTTTATTAACACGTTAAGCCCCGTGTCAGTCCCTGTGACTGACACCACACTTTCCGTGTGAAGCGCCTACTGTGTGCGGGAAGGGGTGACTCATGCTTTTCACACTTTGTCTCGGCCCAGGTGGGGCGAGTGTAATTACCCGTCTGTTTTATTCTATTGTTTCTCTGGGTGAATAAACGAGCTGAAAGATTGAACAGCCTGAAGGTCACCCAATTAGTAAGAGTGGAAGCAGGCATTGGAACGCCCACCTCTTGGCCAAAAAAAAAAACCCTAATCTGAAAACATGAGAAAATAGACAGCATCGCTCCCCCCTCACCCCCCTTCCTGTTTTCAAAAAGTGTACAAGTGAGCTGACATCTTGAAAATAAGATGTTGATGGGCCTCCATCTACCAAACAGGAAGCAGGCCGTTAGACATTTTGCTAGAATTGATGATATTCTCAAAGGACTGGTGCAGTTTAATTTGGAAACCTTGATTGGGAAGTATGTTTAATGGCAGAATTGTGAAACAGGATCCAATATTCTCAGGAAAACCTTTAAATAATTAATCAGAGGGAGAACTTTTAATTCAAAATAGTTTTTTTCTCTTTTAATTATACATACTTGTCGGAATAATATAAAAAGTTTCAAGTAGAGAAATTGGGGGGCATCCCTCATGTTATAGACTCCATTAATATTTTGGTCTGCTTCTTGTGCTATGTGATTTAAGAAAATATATATGCATATTTTATTTTTTAATATATTTTTATTGATTTCAGGGAGTAAGGGAGATGGAGATAGAAACATCAATAATGAGAGATAATCATTGATCAGCTGTCTCTTGCACGTTCCACACTGGGGATCGAGCCCACAGCCCAGGCATGTGCCCTGGCCAGGAATGGAACCATGACCTCCTGGTTCATAGGTCGAGCTCAGCCACCGAGCCACGCCGGCCAGGCTGTGCATCTTTTATTTTAAGTTAATATTTATTAAAGAGGGGAAAACAACATAAAGGACAAAAACTAAAGCCCACCCATCCTATCACCAGTGAAGACTATGGTATATTTCTTCCTGGTCTTCTTTTCCTTTGTATGGATTCCTGTTGGCATTGTCATTTCTAAGTCCAGTTCTGTAATAATGGACCCTCAAACCAAAGTTGAAAATATAGGAAGAAAAAGAAAACCAGTTACACAACCAATCTGGCTGGTTCCTTGATAATTAACTCTGGATCGTGTCTCATTTTCTCCCAGCTACATCCGCTACTCCCAGATCTGTGCCAAAGCAGTGCGGGATGCACTGAAGGCTGAATTCAAAGCAAGCGCCGAGAAGACTTCCACCAGCAGCGTCAAAATTGTGAAAGTGAAGAAGGAATAATGTGTAAGTTCTGATTGAGTTAGAAGAGGTGCATTTTAAATTTTGAGAGTATTTTTTAAAAAAAGTAATTTTACTTTTGAACTTGTCCCATTTTTGGCCAATTAGTCCATGTAGAAGTTGGTGGGATAATAATGTGTAAAGCATACGGGTAGTACAAGTCCCTTGGCAAATCAAAGAATGTCATCTGGGGCCCTGACAAGCAGAAGCAATTGGCACATTGATTTTCAGCTCATTTAGCAATGCTTAGGTAGAGATCCATCTCATTTTAATTAAACTTGTTTCATTTGCTGCAAGTGCAGGCCAGGTCCTGCCATGTATCAGGCAGGAGAATCTGCAAGACCCTGCAGTGAGCCCGCTTGGCCGAATGTGCTGTGCTCTCCGGGGGTCTGGCCATTCCACTTCTCCAAAGATGGTGGCAGTGATAAGTGCCCTTTTGCACCGCACAAGACAGTCCTCCTGTACATTGGGTCAGTCAGACCTTTGTGCTCTGAACTTCTAAAGTGATTTGCTCTAAAAACCATTTTTTTGAACATTCTTATTTCAAAGATAAGTGAAATAAATTACCAGAGAGATGTTTCCCAGATTTCGTTTTCTTGTTTTGCTTTTCAAAAAGCTTCCGACCCGCAGTAGCAGGGAAATGTGATAAATATTAATCCTTTGGCAGCTTGTGGTTATGAGCAATTTTACTTATTGGAACTGTCTCCCCTAAGCGCTTCTCATTTTCATTTTGAATTAGTAAATATTTTATTACCAGTCTAGAGATACAGTGTTTTGAATTTAGTCCTTTTTCTAGGGGCTCTCTGTATAATCTCATAATTCTGAGTGATGAGACCAGGTTTTATGTGGGGTTGTTTTGTTTTTAACAGTGAGCTAACTTACAGAATCACAGCCCTGCTCTGCAGCGTAGTCTAGTCTAGACTCTAGCTAAACCCGAATCTCACTCCCATGACCTTGTGATATCCTTGGGTCAGGAAGCAGCGTCCAGATCCGGAAACAAAACGTTGGCCATTCTCTGTATGTCCTGCAGGGGATTCGGCCCCCACCCCATCAGCACAGGGGGTTTTAGTGTCTTTTAAAGGCAAAGTAGTTTCTTTATTGCTAGGCAAGGGTTTGATTTTACTTAGGGAAGTAAGTGCCTGTTGAGCTAAGGCCCTGCCAAGAGCCAGGGCTCCTCATCAACGAGTGCATTGAAGCCACAGTTATGTTATGTAATTCGCTATAAGGAGGTTATTTCCCCCATTCGTGTTGGGTTTTCAAGAAAACACAGAGGACTAGCAACTTCTGCATTTTCTTTTTTCTCCTAGACCCTGACTAAAGCCTGAATGCTACATTTTCAAGGTGAAGATGTGTGGGCACAGGTTATAGCAGATTGAAAACGATCACACTTCATGGGGAAAGTAACACCTGTCTTGTTGATGGATTGACATTGCCAATAAACTGAAACATGCTCCCCTCCGGCTGTTGTGTTGGTTTCTGTCGGACTTGTTCTTTTTCTTCATGGGAACTGTCTGCACAACTGCTGGGCCGTGACCCTGGGAACCGAGGTGTCTCAAGTAGGGGAAGCAGATTTAATATCCAGGGACCAAAGAGATACAGGAAACAGTTTGAAAGTGTCTCAAAATAGAAAGTACTCTTTTTCATGACATTAACTGACAGACTATGTCATTCAGGCCCTGGCTGCCCCTTATCTTTGAATCATGGAGGTCGTGTCAGAGCGTCCTGCTTGGTGCAGGCCACCGTCTCTCTGGGTAGTGTGCTGCTTGGCCAGTAGCTTAAATGAAAATAATAACTCAAGTCCTCGATTAGAAGGAAAATACTAAGTTGTAGTATTTATGTTTTTCTTGTGCACTTAAACCTTGTCTGATGAATGAACCTTTACATTCTGGGAGTATTGCTCATAGGAAATGAGGTGCAGCCTCAGTCACCAGCTTATCGAACTAATGGCCGAGCTGAAATTAAAATCCAGGCTCCTAACTGCCGTCTCGGGTGATGATTACAACAGTTAGATGGTGTTTGCGAGGTGACTCATTTAGTCATTAAATATTTATGGATGAAGTATTATTGTAAGTGTCTTGTTTTTATCTCTCTTTGAAACTTGGAAGCACTTGGCAGAGTAAAACTTCGTTGCAGCATTAACTGCTTAATTTTAGCTGTTTTTGGAGAATAGAGAACTAAGTTTGAACAGGAAATTTTGAAACACGTTCAGTTCCTGCCCTGGGACCAGTTCTCACCACAGCACTTAAGCTAATAATGATTTTAGCAGGGCCAAGAAGGAGCCCAGAAAATGTCTGTTCTCAGCTGTGGAGAAGACTCCCTGCCCCGGGACCTTGACCTGTAGGTTTTATTTAATTCTCAGCACAGGGCATGCCGGGAGCAGTGGGAGAGCAGTGGGAGAGCGGGGCTAAAAGCCACTTAAAGCTCCTGTGGTCCTTTGCCCTGGGCTGTTGTCCTGCTGTTTTGAAGTCTGGGCACCTGGGTTGTTAGGTGATGGAGGGACTAGGAAGCATCATTCATACAAACAGGAGTCAGTGACTCATGAGGCCTTTAGGCCTTTTTGATAACCAGACAATGAGGGGCAGGCAAAGAGCTAATTTCCAGCCAAGTCATTAGAAATGAGTCATTTATTAGGGAGGCAAATGTGATTATTGGAGGTGAGACTTAGGGACAGGCTTGTGACATGGCAAGGATTATAAGGGAACTGAATAAAAGATAAATTTTTTGCCAGCAAAAATACCCTGAACTGATAACTGATTAAATAAACTGCATCCAGCCCTGCTGGGTAGCTGGCAGAAGTGTCCAGGTTACCAGGGGCCCCAATCAGATCTAGTTGTGGATATTGTAGTCACTGGTTGGGGTGGTTGAAGCTGTTGTTAATCTCTTGCAGTGCTCTGGGCTGGGAGGTGAAGGCATCGGACAAACTCTAAAATTCGATTCTACTATGTTGGTCTCTGAGAGACCAATGTCACTGTAACGACCATACTACTAAATAAAACGGCTCTTCAAAATCAGAGGGGACAGATTGCTTTTGGATTCTGGATTTTTAATTTCATCTATTTCTACCATACGAAAGAGTAGGCTGATGGGATGCATTTTGAAATATTTTTAACTAAAAATTAATCTGGGTGGTTAGACTCCAAGAAAAGCAATTTATTTAGTTTGAAATAAAGCAATTGAGCCATTTAAAATTGAATTTCTTTATACTTTAATGATTAATATTGAGCAAACAAAAATCTTTATAGTAATATAAGTCAGCAGAAGTCTTTTTCTTTTTAATTTAGATTTATATCCTTCCTCCCATCCACTTAATTGCCTTTTTAGATTTGAGGAGGAAAGTGCTTGAGGAAGCATGAGTATGAATTCTTAGGTAATCACAGGTTGTAGGACTTTTTAGCATCTAAGGAAGTTCACAGCTTCAAAGTAAGAGCTTACAGGTGCAGCTTCTTATTCAATCTGATTGTGGTTTTAGTGATTCTTGAACCTCAAGTAGAAAGTGTTTAAAACTTTTCTTTTTCATTTTGTAAATAGAAGGCTTGCTATACTGTCGACCGCAAGATTTTAATTTTCTCTTGGCAATTTCAGTCATTTCCTTTGATGCATTTATGAAAAGTAATGTTTCCCAGAATGAGCTATGTCTTTCCCCCAAGCCCCCCAAACCTGCCTGCACCTGCTGCCTCATTATTATTGCAAATTATAGAAGCAAATCGGGAGGCGAGGACCTAGTGTCCGCAAGTGAATCCCTGCTGTCCGCGGAGCAAACAAGGTAGAGCTCAGTGGTAATTGTAGGCCATTAAACCTTTAAGGCCCTCAGGGCCGGCAGCATGTTAGAAATAGGTAAGCTGTAATTAAGTTACAGGCGATTTGATTATGCTCTTGTGTTTGGTCCTGTTGCAATGAGAGCAGATTAAAACCATGTGATGGTTAAAGCTGTGTCATCCTGCAAACATCATGACAACTTCTGCAAATTAATCTGAACTGTAAAAGTTCCCTAATGAGATGATGTCCTCTGTAACCAGGAGGGACGTTGCCGAGCCCACGCTGTGCCCTTCTGAGTGAGCAGGGGCTGGCCTCGTGCTCAGAAGGTGGTGACCGGATGGGAGTGGGCAGGCCATTCCAAAGTAGCCTTAGTGATTCTCAACCTTCCTAATGCCACGACCCTTTAATACAGTTCCTCATGTTGTGGTGACCCCCAACCATAAAATTATTTTCGTTTCTACTTCATAACTGTAATTTTGCTACTGTTAGGAATCGTAATGTAAATATCTGATATGCTAAATGTGTTTTTCCGGTGGTCGCGACCCACAGGTTGAGAACCGCTGCAGGTCTTTGGTTGACCACCAAAGAGAGTGGTCAATGAGGTCCCAGAGTCTAACACTAGTAAGAAACGTAAATAGCACATGTATGTGTCGAAAGCTGGTAACAAGGCATGGGTTGGTGGGTATTCCTGAGTTTTGTTCCTGAGTTTTGCCTGTCATTTCTGCTTTGGGTTTTGGCCTGCACTTTTCTCCCCTTCCTTTCCCCCTTTCCAGTCCAGTCGGTGGCTGCGTTGTGCACAGGGACTACACAATTTCCTGGTGGGTGTTGACTCACTTGCCTCAGCTGTGTGACTCCCCATTACCACTTGGTCACCTGGCTTTCCTGGAAGCCAGCAAGTGTGAGAGGTGGGGTGCTGGGCAGAGTCCTAGCAGCCCGGGCCACCGAGTCAGGAGTCCAGATGCACTGAAGTTACAAGGTACCATCCTCCCCACATATCATGTGCTGTCCTGCTGCCCGCGCGTGCTGTTCATACAGTAAACAAAGTTGTAGACAAAGGGAATCCTTTGTGATAAATTCACTTTACTATTCAAAGGAGTGCAGACAATGTGCATGGACTACAGCGCCAAAGAAGAGCCTGAAGCCATCGGTGATGTCCCCGCCCCGCCCCCTGCCCCTGCCCCTGCCCATGTCTGTGTCCGAGCTAGCGCTGAGTGGCTGTGTGCAGTGTCCTCGGTGCTGCCCAGCGGAGCAGCCTTGGGATTGCTGCCCAGAGCACTCATGTGGAGAGCCGCCCCCGTGCCCGCCTTTCTTGGTTAACCCTCCTTATCCTCTGCTTCCATTTCTGCCTCCCCCACCACCTCGTCATCCTCCTCCAGACCTGCTTTGGCGTCTTGAATCTGCTGGTACTCGGACACCAGGTCATGGATGTTGCTCTCGGCCTCCACAAACTCGTCGATGTCCATGCCCTCGCCCGTGTACCAGTGCACGAAGGCCTTCCTCCTGAACATGGCCGCGAAGTGCTCGGACATCCTGGTGAACAGCTCTTGGATGGCAGTGCTGTTGCCGATGAAGGTGGCGGCCATGCTGAGCCCGGGGGGCGGGATGTCACAGACGGCCACCTTGACGTTGTTGGGGATCCAGTCCACGAAGCAGCTGCTGCTCCGGGTCTGCACGGTGAGCATCTGCTCGTCCACTTCCTTGGTGGACATCTTCCCTCGGAAGATGCAGGCCACGGTCAAGTAGCGGCCGCGCCGGGGGTCACAGGCAGCCATGGTGTTGCGGGCATCAAACATCTGCTGGGTGAGCTCAGCCACCGAGAGGGCCCGGTACTGCTGGCTGCCCTGCGCCGTGAGCGGGGCGAAGCCGGGGATGAAGAAGTGCAGGCGGGGGAAAGGGACCATGTTCACGGCCAGCTTGCGCAGGTCGGCATTGAGCTGGCCCGGGAACCGGAGGGAGGTGGTGATGCCACTCATGGTCAAGGACACCAGGTGGTTGAGGTCTCCGTAGGTGGGCGTGGTCAGCTTCAGGGTGCGGAAGCAGATGTCGTAGAGGGCCTCGTTGTCGATGCAGAAGCAGGCGTCGGCGTTCTCGATCAGCTGGTGGATGGACAGCACGGCGTTGTAGGGCTCCACCACCGTGTCCGACACCTTGGGCGAGGGCATGACGCTGAAGGAGTTGAGGATGCGGTCGGGGTACTCCTCCCGGATCTTGTTCATGAGCAGCGTGCCCATGCCTGAGCCAGTGCCCCCGCCCAGCGAGTGCACGATCTGGAAGCCCTGCAGGCAGTCGCAGGCCTCACTCTCGCCCCGCACCACGTCCAGGACGCTGTCCAGCAGCTCCGCTCCCTCCGTGTAGTGGCCCTTGGCCCAGTTGTTGCCAGCCCCAGAGTTACCTGTGGCAGAAGACACGTGGTTATCTACCCAGAGGCAGAGGAGGCAGGGTGGAGAGAGGAGGACGCCATCAGCAGGCATCCTTCTCTCATCCCAATGGAACCTTCCAGAAAAACCTACCGTGGACAAAACTGTCTGGTTGAAAGAGGCTTCCCAATTTGCTAGACCGGATGCTGTCCATCGTCCCAGGTTCCAGGTCCACCAAGACGGCTCGGGGCACATATTTCTTATCTGTGCAGAAAGATACGAAGAAGTCAGCAAACTATTGTTTTTTCTAAAAGTTAATGTTTCACCCTAACCAGTTTGCACAGTGGACAAAGCGTCCGCCTGGGGACTGAAAGGTCCCCAGTTCGACTCTGGTCAAGGACACGTGCCTGGGTTGTGAACTCCACTCTCAGTAGGGAGTGTGCAGGATCAGTGATTCTCATCATTGATGTTTCCATCTCTCTCCCCCTCTCCCTTCTTCTCTGAAATCAAGAAAAATATTTATAAAATAAAATAAAAATTAATGTTTCATCAAAATGGAACCTTGTGAGACCGCCCCCCCCCAGAAAAAAATGGTGTCTTTGGTAAACAGAGATTCGCAATCACACCCAGACCCTGACAATACACAAATCTACAAATGCCTTAAAAATTATGTTTCCATTATTGTTTTGTTATGTTGCCAACGACAGAGATTCTGTTCCTATTGGAAGTGCTGCTGGTTTTTACTTAAAAACCAAATGGGAAGGCTGGTGCTTAAACTGCACGTGTTAAGACATGCCCCCCCCCAACCCCCCCCCCCCCCTTAGTGACTTCTTTGAACAGGGCGGGGGAAGGGGACCATTTGCCTGTCATCACTCAGTGTCCTGTGGAGGTGCCCAGACGTCACCCATGGACATCTCGTGGTCCCCTGTGAGCACTGGCCGCCCCGAGCACAGCATCCTACCGTGGGCCTCGTTGTAATACACGCTGATCCTCTCCAGCTGCAGGGCACAGTCCCCGCCATAGCTCCCAACCGAGTCGATGCCGTGCTCCTCACCAATCACCTCCCAGAACTGAAAGCAGAGGAGGGGTGGTCAGTGCGCAGAGGGACTCGAAAAAGGCTTTGTTGGCTGCAGGTGGGACAGGAAGACTGGAGGTGGCCCGGGCCTGCCTCCCTGGGTCTCCCAGCCTGTCCCTTCCCAAGACGTGTTTTTGGTCCTTTTCATAAGTCCTCTCCGTGGCATCATTCCTTTGTGCCTCTCCTACACAGGCATCCGAAGACTGCATTCCATACCCACCTGCATTCCCCAAATGAACTGTCAACATACATGAAGTTGGATTTTGCTCTTACTAAATTCAGGCTGTTGTGTACCTTAAAGCTGTTGTTTAGCATTGCACATCACAGTGTAGCTCTAAGCTCACCTGTAGTGCTCCAAGCATATACAGTATAGACTCCAGGCCCTAGCCGGTTTGGCTCAGTGGATAGAGTGTCGGCCTGCGGACTAAGCGGTCCCAGGTTTGATTCCAGTCAAGGGCACATACCTTGGTTGCAGGCTCCTTCCCAGCCCGGGTTGGAGGTTTATTTTCATGCAGTTTACCCAAAAGCCCATAAATGGGACATCTATGCCCAATGCAAGCAGTGTGCATTTTGATGATCAGGTGTGCACACAGTTAAAATCATGCACAGCTTACCCTCTTGTGACTGTTCGAAACACATTGCACCTTCAATCACAGACAGTACTTACTAATGTACAAACATGCCAAGCTCTCAGTATGGAAACAGTGACCAGACGCCCTCCTTTCATTGCCCTGGAGAAGCCCTTCGTCCCGTGCAATGAAAACATCTATGCTCAAGTCACCAGCCACCTCTTGTGAATGACGGCTCTGCTCCGACCATGGTCTTATTTGCAGTAAGTTACCAACACTGTTCAGGGTGTGGAAGAATCAATGAAGTTAAGTTCTGTGACACCACAAATTAGGTATAACTTCAAGTTCTTAGGGACCCAGATAATAAGTAGTTGCTGTGGTTCTGGAGTGAGAGCGAGGACCCTATCTGGACTGCTCTCCCTCTCAAGGGCCTCCGTGCACATTATCTTGCAGCGTCAGGGCCGTGGGGGCTTGGGCCTCCTCTGTGGGCTGTAGTTTGAACATCTTATCACTGTCGTGTGGAAGGCTGATGCTTCCCTTCGAGCAGTCATCGTCTTTGTCCCAGGGTTTAAACCCCTGCGTTCAAAGACTGGTTTCTGCATAGCAGCAGCAGCCACAGCAAAAGAAAGTGGGACACGGCCCAGTGTCCATCGGGGATGAATGGTAACAAAATGCAGTCCACCCACACAAGCGATATTCAGCTTTAGGAAAGGAAGGGGCCTGGCTGGGTGGCTCAGTTGGTTGGAGCATCGTCTGGTGCACCAAAAGGTTGTGGGTTCACTCCCAGTCAGGACATATACCTAGGTTGCAGGTTCGATCCCCAGTCTGGGGCTTCTGGGAGGCAATCGATTGGTATTTATCACATCATTGTTTCTCCCTTCCTCTCTGAAATCAATGAGAACGTCCTCAGATGAGGATTTTTTAAAAAGAAAAGAAGGAAATCCAGTCACCTGCTATAGCCTGGATGAACCTGAGGACATTGTGCTCAGTGCCTGATGACTCAACTTACATAAGGGACCTAGAGAAGTCAAACTGAGACGGAGTCGGCTGGTGGGGCCAGGGCTGGGGAGAGGAATGCAGGGTTACTATTTAGTAGGGACAGAGTTTCAGGTTTGCAAGAGGCACTGAGTGATGCTCTTTTAAATAGTTAAATACAACAGCCTGAATTTAGTAAGAGCGGAGGAGGGGAGAGGGATAGTTAATTTTATGCTGTCTTTCACCAGTTTTTTTTTTTAATTTTAAAGACAGTTTTAATACAGTTCATACTTGTAAAAGCAATTTAAAAACAGCAATGAGAACAATCAGGTACTATAGAATTGGTCATCTTCAGATTAGGGCTGGAGGCATTGGGCGCTCTCACTGTTTTCTTAGCATTACCAACTGAGCCAGGTCCTTTGAGACATTTTAAGAGGGGGAGAGAAAAACTCATTTATATTCCAGAGGGTCTATTTTAATTCTTATTGCTCCTGGGCACAAACCTTGTAGGTTTAGCTTTTACTTTTCTGTTGCATATTAAATGGAACAACAGTTGATCCTTTTTAACTTTATAACCTAAAGAGGAGGGAACGATGGCTTCATGATACGGTGGTGAACATTTCCCAACAAACTCTGGAAAACTGTTTGGACACAAATTACTGTTTTCAGATATAAAAAGTTCATTGCTTAAAGATGATAAAAGTAAAAATAGTTAATGTGTATCATACACAAGAGACTCCACAAAATTAATATGAATTAAATTAACCCTTTAAACCTTTGCGAATTCCTGAGTCTCTAATTAAAGGCTGTTTAATAATCAAACGCCCAGCAAGTGCATGCTGTCTGTTCAGCTACAGAGGGCAGTTTCTTGGTTGGCTGCACCATGGACCGCGGCGCCATGGACCGTGGTGAAGCTATTGCTAGGAATGCAGGCGCCTTACCTTGGATCCGATCTGGTTACCACACTGGCCGATCTGAATGTGCACAATTTCACGCATCCTTGCTTTGTGCCCAAGGGCAAGATCTTCACGGAATCCTCAGACCCTGGGAGAGACGCCCTTCACCAGTGTGAGCCCAACACGACTGGTCATTGCAGTGATGGGACCAGCTGACCCAGCTCCCCCCAGTGTGACCCACGGGTGTGTCCAGCCCAGGCCCAGCCCCAGCCCCAGCCCCAGCCCTCCTGTGCTCTGCCTATCATCCTAGTGAAGGGGGTTTTCTTTTCCTCTCCCAGCGCAGAATATTGCCTGGTCATTTCCTAGAGTTCAAGACCAAAGGCTGCCTTTGCGCACGGTGCCCGGCGGTCCAGCACCAGCTGTGGGCTTGCGAGATGGACTCTTGGCTTGTGGTGTGACAGCTGAGCCTGGCCCCTCATCACCCTTTCTGGCCCTGCGTTCTGTTGTCCCCTTTGCTCTTGTCCTGCTGGCTGGGCTCATTGCCTGCCAGTGGTTTCCTTGAGCAGACCAAGAGCGCTCCGGGGGCCAGCAGGACGCCCACCCACACTTCCATTTCGCTAAGGCCCAGCCGAGGGCAGCCGGACTGGGAGGTGCAGAGGATGGACCCGCTCTCCCAGGACCTCGGCGTGCTTCCCTGAGCTCCCAGCAAACAACTTGCAAAACCAGGCCCAGGCCCCCCTCCCCCCGCCGCCCTCCTACCCACAGCCAGCCCTGCCCAGCAGCACAGAGCCCCGGGGGTGCAGGCAGGGCCACATCTCAGTCTGAGCCCTGGCACGTGTGCACCTGCTTCCCGAGGCCTCTTCGGCCTTTGCCAGGGACCCCGAGGCGGGCCCTGGTCATTGAACAGCTACCAACCGGCACCTGCCCTATGCCGGGCACACCTTTGGGAGCTGGGGGTTGGGGAATGGAGGAGACCGGTGCAGGCAGCCCCTGCATCCCGGGGCTCTGAGGGGGTGACTGACTCAGGAAGGCAAGTCCCCAGGGTGTGGATTCAAAGGCAGGACTGAACTGGACTCAGCCCCAGAGCCCTGGTCCCTATCCTCCCTGCCCCTGACCTGACAGGTGATGTCGGTCGAGGGGTCAGCCCTGCCTCCCAAGCCTTTCCAGACCCTTGACTCCCAAACCCTGTGTCCCCCCGGCCTGGGCAGCCTGAGATGGGGGTACAGGGGATGGCGAAGAACAGTTGCTAACAATGGACTTGGGGGGAAGGGGTGATCAATAGCCTCTAGTCACTCCCACAGGCATTCACCCACAGGAAGGACCTGAGCTGTCCATTGAAAGCAACACCAAGAGGTGGGGGAGGAGGACTTGTCCCCTGGAGGCCGGCACGAGAGCCGCTCTAGTCTGCCACTGTCCGGAAGAGGCCCGTGACCCTGGGCCGGGCCTGGACCGGGCAAAGGCGCTGTGAAGGGCACTCCTCAGACAGTTGTGGGCATTGGAATACACGGCATACATTGCTCAATAGCACGGTGTCCATGTTGGAGTTCCTGCGTGAGATCGGGGCCTGGGGCTTATGCAAATAGAAATCCTTGTTTTCAAGAGACTGTGACGCACTCAGGGTCAAGAGTCACCAGGCCAGCAATTCAGTCGCAAACATTTAGGCAACACAATAAAAATGCGATCCGTGGAACGAGGTGACCCAGTGTGGCAAGATGTTAACAACAGGTGCCTTCCCCCAACGTGGCGCAGGGTTAGTGCTCCCGTAACACTTCTCCAGCTTGGCATTTCCTTCTGCTCAGATCGCAAGGACTGCAGGCGTCACAGAGGCCTCTGGTTCAAACCATGCCGCCCTCAAAGGCAAAGAGAAGGAAGTGTGAACTCAAGACGAAGGAATTCGGGTGTCCAGCAGTACTTTTCACAAATTAAAAAAAAAGCTTTCAGCTCTCATAGGTGTCACCCCACTCTCGTTCCCTGGGTGCCCTCTTCCCTCATCCCCTGCTGACCTCCCCACCTTCCCTGGCTCATCAGATTCCTACAAAGTCCCAGAGTCCCAGGGAAGCTCCCCTGTCACTTCCTGGAGCACCTTGACCTTCCCCTCAGCCCCAGGGTCACACACACACACACACACACACACACACACACACACGCCTGCGGCCCCAGCACTTTACTTGGTCCTGTTTGTTAATCACTTATCCTCATGCCTTATCTCCCGCCAGTCTGGAAACTGCCGCTATCTTTCCACCTTCGAGTCCCCCACCTGCCCCTTGGGTAACAGGGCCTCAGCAAATGTTTGCCGAGCGCACACAGACAGCTGGGCAAGTTTGAGCAGCCATGGCAAGTTTTCATAAAGGCAATAATGTATTTATTCAGAGTATGTCCTCAAGGGGCGGGGGGTGGAGGGGGGGAGGCTGGAGGATTTTTCCCTCCAACCCCTAAGTGGCTTGTTGATGGGTAACCGCAGGTGCTGTTAGAGGTGCTCACAGGGCCGTGTGGGCTGCGGGGACACAGCCAGGCGGGGGCTACTAGGTCTCTGTGCGGGCCCCCACCACCTCCACCCGGAGCACATTCCTCTTGGTCATCTCAGTTTGCTCAGGGAGGGGAGGTCAGGCTCCCAGATGGGCGCTTAAAAGGTTTTTCTGTTAATGGGGCAGTTGGCAAGAGGAGGGAAGAAGAGGAGCTGTTTGCTTTGAGCTGTTTGCTGGCAGTGTTTACTCAGTCTCGGCACTGCACTCAGCTTTGGACGCCGCTGGGGCGAGGGCAGATGCTGGGCAGGGAGCCCACGGCCCAGGGCCGAGGCTCGGCCGCTCTGGGCCTTCCTCCTGTCTGAACCTGAGTTTTCTCAGCCGCAACACGGGGTAGCGGTCGCCGGTTCGCTGTGGGGACTGCCTTTGCAGGCGGTGTTTTCCAAGTCTTCTTCCACGGGTGTTAGAGGCTGCGGCTCCCTGTATAGATGGCACCGTTCATTTCTAGATAGTGAGCACCTACTATGTGCCAGGCTGAGCTAGTTGTGGGCACAGAAGGCTGGCTGTCCGGGTTTAAAATGTCTGGGTGGGACAGGGTGGTGAGAAAGGCATGGGTCTGAAAGCGGCCACTCCGCACCCTTTTGTCCTGGTGACGGCAGCTGTGTGCCATGGCAAGAGCTCTCCCCGGAGGGCCCTTCTCAGACCAGGAGTGGCAGCCCCTCCTGGGACACTGCTCTGCTCTCCTCCCGGGAGGAAGGTGGCCCTCCAGCCAGCCCTGAACTGCAGCGAGGGATGGAGAGCGGCCGTCTGTGACGAAGGACAGTCCTTTGTCCCCCAGAGAAGGGCTGTGGCAAAGGCAGGTTAGCAGTGACTGCCCGGGAGTCAGAGCATCAGCGAGCATCACTGCAGAGGGCAGAGGGCAGAGGGCAGAGGGCAGAGCAAAAGCATCCCAGGGAATGCATGGTGGTGACACCACTGCATGCCAGGAAAGCCGCTGCCTGCAGACGCTGAAATGACCCTTAGTTGGGCCGCGAGAAGATGCGGTGGCAGCCAGCCCCTTCCTGCATGTCCCCGGGTCTATTATGGGAACAGAACTACGATGATAAGGAAAACCAAGTGTCACCAGAAACCCCAGATCGGCTGCTCCCAGACTTCCTCCAGGAGCTGCCCCCAGTGGTCAGATGGAGCCCCCCCATTTGACAAATGAAATATAATCAGGAAAAACACAGCACACTTAGAATTCATTGATTTCATCCGCCCCTCATCCTCTTCTGGGTACATCCAAGTTCCGTGAATAACTCCGAGGAGATTGTTGAATTACAGTGTTTGCTTGTGATTCAGAGGCAGAAATTTTTCCAAATGTCTTAGCAAGAAAATGACATCTGAGGGGCCATTATGAGTGAGTCAGCGGTGTGGGCAGATCAGCTGCACCGAGCTCCCCGTTCCTGTCCTCGGCTTCGGGGTGTCTCTAGCTGTGAGAGAAAGTTCTGGAGAAAGAATAAGGAATTCGCAGAGAGGAGGGACTGGGAGAGCATGGCTGTTTTTCCACAAGCCAGGCTGCCCGGCTTCATGGGGAAAGTTTAGACTTGGTCCCCCAGCTGAAAATCCCCATGGCACCCACACCACGCTGGCCTCGGGGCCACTCTGCACCCCCCGGCCTCCAGCCCAGCAGTGAGACACTCTGCAGCTCTGTGGGCACATCAGGGGTCAGAGCTGGGCTGTGCCATCTCCAAGGTGCAGGACGCACGCACGCACGCTCACGCACCTCCCCGAACTGCCGTGATTCCGCAGGGACACGTTCGCCTTCTCCACCAAGTCTCTCCCCGTCAAGGCGGACAGGACCTGATAAGCAACGTTCGGTGGCGGAAACAGAGATAAGCATAACACCGCCCGCACCTGGAGCTGAAATTAAACAGAAACCTACCCTTCCTCAAGCCCAGTGTTTGTCCAAGAAACCTCTGCTGCGCGCCTCTCAGAAATCCATTTGTTTATCCAACAAATACTGGCCAGGTGCTCTCTGGGGGTTCGAGGGACCTCAGGAAAGTAGGGAAGGGGGGCCCTGCTCTCCAAGGATGCAGACAGACAGCCCTGGTCCCCTTTCCACTGGCCTTTGCAACGTCCTCTGCCACCTCATTTGGGAATTTGAGGCTCAAAGAAGAAATCGGCTCACTCGAGTCCAAGAATGATGGCAGAGGCAGAGACGGGTCGGGCTGCAGGTCTTTGGGCCCCTATGTCCAGGGTACAATGTGAGGTGTTGGGAGGGGTCAGCCTGCTGGCCTCCAACCAGGCATCTGAGGAGCCCAGACCGCTTCCCTCCTCCTTCTCCTCACCCCTGGCCCACACCTGGGTCCTGCCAGCCCCACCTCCCAGACAGGCAGCCGTTGCCCGCTGTCACCATCTCTGCTTCGAGGCATCACCAGCTGCCCGTCCATGACCACAGCCGGCCCCACCTGTCCTCACCCTGCCTCCTTCCATCCCCTCCGCCCATGGCCACCAGAGGGATCTGATCGCATAAGCCAGGCCCTGCCCTTCAGGAGCCAGCTGCCACTGGGGAGAACTGCCCCCCTCACCACATCCCACGCTGCTCAGACCCTCAAAGAAGATGCGGGAGGGGCGGGGAGGGGGCTTGCGGAGACTGCGATGCAGGGCGGAGGGTCCACTCCTCCCGGGCTGTGCCTGCAGGAAGCGTGGCCGCGGGCGGTAGGCAGGACACAGCAGCTGTGCCCGCCGGAGGCCTGAGGGGTGTGTTTAGGGCAGCTGTGAGCTCTTCGTGACCTCACCGGTGT